ATGAGGACCTAATGTCAGGGGCTTAAGTGGAGAGGAAATGTGTTGAGAATGATGAAGGCAATGAATGTACAAATGCACTTTACACAATTGATGTATGTATGGATTGTGATAAGAGTTGTATGAGCCCCTAATAAAATGATTATAAAAAAGAAAATGATGGTGACAAATGTGCTTGACACAATGGATGGATGTATGGATTGTGATAAGAATTGTACCAGCCTCCAATAAAATGATTAAAAAAGAAGAAAGAAAAATAATATCAGAGAGGAACACACTCCTTAGAACAATCAAAATAGCTAAAAGGTAATCCTGAGAAAAAATAAAAATAACTAAAAAGGTGGCATTTACCCTGAGATAAATCTCAGAAGACAGCAGGTGCAGAAAAGGGGAACTCTAGGGTAAAACGGGAAGCGTGCTATTTACATTGGGGCATCACAGTTGACGTTGTAAAACAAAATGCATATAAATTGTTGAGTGGGAATTAAATTTATGGGCCCTGTGGAAATTATGGGCTCAAGTGGAAAGCAAATGTTTTGAGAATGATGATGGCAACAGGTGTACAGATGTGCTTAACACAATGGATGTATGTATGGATTTTGATAAGAATTGTACAAGCCCCAATAAAATGATTTATAAATAAATAAATAACATGTGAATCTAAAATGTACAAATTGAACAAATATTAAAAGATAGTTTCTCCAAAAAAAAAAAAATAAATAAACTTGACATATTTAAAGTGCAAAAAAAAAAAATTGTGGGCCCTGTCTGAAAAATCCATAGTATGAGTCATATTTATGTTCCTTTGGATATCATTCTATGTAAGACTGTAATACTTCAGGTCCTGACTTTGATGTGGATTGTAAAAGCAATTGTGACATTAAAAAAACGGGGAAAAAGAAAATGACATTTAATTTGTTCTTTAAACTTTCACACAAACCACAATGTAAATTGAAAGAAAATGTTGAGGATTTAGACAGGGTTAATGGTTACATGACTTTGTGAGCACAGAGGGCTCCCAAACATCCCTGGAAAAAATGGAATTGTAAGATAACATAAATTTTTCATGCGCTTTATAATGTCTACTTTTATATGAAATATGATAGAATTACATATTTTGAGTGGTGGATTTTGTGGTATGTGAATTGTATTATTTTTTCTAAACTCCTATAATGAAGCTCATTTTAAGTGTACCAGGCTATATTCACTTTATGTAGATCATATTAGCACTTATTTCAGATATTATATTCAAGGAGAGTCATGATTTAGGTGGTTTCCCAACACTCCTTTCTCCCACACCTCTAATTGAAGAGAAATAGAGCTAACGTAATCATGGAACCATTGAGTCCGAAGCAAATATGAATTGTACTCCTAGAACATCTTGAGTGACCATGGGCAAGATGCTTCCCCTCCCCTCTTTGTTTAATATCCAGAAATGAGGGCATTAATGTTTATCTTAAGCAAGGTTTATTAAATTGTAGGGTCTCTGTCTCTGATAGGTCATCAGCTTCTTGAGCGCCTATTTCCCCACAGTGCCCAACACAGGACATTCTATCTGGAAATGTTTAATAAATGTGTATTAAATGAAAACTCAAAACCAGACTCACTGCAATTGAGTTGATTGCAACTCCTAGCAACCCTATTGGATTAAATTTTTAAAGGCACATGAAGTGTTTTTTACGCTCAAAGCTCTAAAGATATGAGGCGGCGATGTTAATATTTTCTGATGTGACTCTTGTATGTGCTTTGTAGCTGACTTTGGCCACACTGAACCAACTTCTTTTCTAGGTCTTGCAGTATTAAAACATGTGCTGACACCAAGAGTAAAGGCAACTTATATTGCTTTTGATACGATGAAGAACTATTTAGATGCAATTTATGATGTGACAGTGGCTTTTGAAGGGACCATAAATGATAAAGGGCAGCGGCAAAAAGCACCATCAATGATTGGTAAGGCTTGTGGTTTTAATGAATTTATATTCGTGCATGTTGACTTTGCTTTTTAAGAATAGGTCATGTGCTCTTTCCTTACATTTCTCTGATCTGTTTTTAATAGGCTGTTATTATGTAATAGTTGAAATTTCATCAGTTCTCCTAATTTTCATGCATGTTGGATGCCATGCTCATCAATAGGCTTACCCGTTGTCATTAACCTAGCTTCTTCCTGTCTGCAATTCACACATAAAATGGAAAGCTCTATCATTCCCAGGATAAGTGAGGAAGGGACATGTTAACCTAGCAATGTTGATTCGTGTGTTATCACAGGGTTGTAATCATATTTTGTATGCATTTTAAATAAAGTATTTCTGAAATTTAATGTCATTGTTTGGCAAGAAGGAAATGTGTGTGTGATTCCTTTTCCACCAGTGTGGTAAATTTAAAGACATTTGAGCTACAGTCTCTGTAAGATAGAAGAAGAAACAAAATGAATTTTAAGTGAGCAAAATATGTTAAACATAACCAAAGACACTCTTGACTGGTAGAGAAAACTAAACATGGGAATAATAATTCAAGGAGGTATGGAGTCACTATCCTTGAAGTCACCCTTAAGCACAACTTCTCCTTTTGAAAGGATCCTTCTGAGCTCTAATCAATAGGTAAGAGCATTGTGCTAGACTGCATTGACTTTATATTTTACCTTGACAGCTGTTTCAGGTTAAAGTAAAATGCTTGTCTGAGTGCCTATATCAATAGGCTCTCTGGAAGGCAGATATTAAAAATATAAACCACCTGCACATTTTGTTTTAAATTTACACCTAGCTTCTAAAGCATTCCTCTGCCTTTTTTATAGCATAAGATACTTAACTTCAGTATAACATATACAAAAATTAACATTATTAACATGTTTAAACTAAAAGTGCCTGATTGTTACTCAGTGTAATGAGATGGAATTTCACCATACTCAGTCATTCATTCATTTACAGTCCGTCTCTAACTTGGAGTTCTTGTTCTGTTGTTGTTGTTACTGACCTCTTCCATGTACCTCCATCCATGTTGGTTGTCATTACATGGATTCCGATCCCTGGTGACCCCGTGTCTTTCAGCACAGAGTTGTTCCATGGGTTTTCCTTGGTTTTCGTCTTAACAGGGAGTTCTTGTGTGACACAAATGACTCGCTCAAAGGGTGGTGGTTTGTATCTACCCAGGGACATCTTGAAAGACAGGCCTAGAAATCTGCGTGCAATGGGGTCGCCATGACTTGGATTCACAGTGGCAACTAAACGATACGCCTTAGGGAAGCAGCTCTCTAGGCCTGTTACCCAGGGTACTGCCGGACAGTAGAGTGGAAACCGTTGTTGCTACCTTCTGCATCTTACTTATTTTAGAATGGTGACCTCTAGGGAACGGTCAATTTAGCAGGATAGAAATAATGTAGCCTAACTTTACATTTCAAGCTATCTGGTTATGGACAAAACTGCACTATTAAATTATTTAGTAATGTATTGTATGTGTTCATGCTTTTTCCCAAGTGCAATTAAAATATATAGAGTCGGAAACCCACAGGGACAGTTCTACCCTGTCCTGTAGGTACTATGAGTCAGAATCGACTTGATGGCAGTAAGTTTGGAGTATATTGTTTGTATTTATGCTTTTCCCGAAGTGCAATTAGACTATAGTTGTAAAATAGTTTATTACAGTCGGCGTGCCATATCTATAGTGTCCCCACATGTGCATTCAACCAATTGCAGATAGAAACTACTGGGGTGGGAGGAGGCAATTATCGTATGTACTCATGTATAAGCCAAGTTCTTCAGCACATTTTTAATGCAGTTTTTGTGGTAAAATTAATGCCTCGGCTGATATTCGGCTTATACTGGAGTATGTACTATAAGTAGTCAAAGCAATCCCATAAGATTAAGCAGGAGTGTAAAGGGCCAGTTACATCGTATTTACATTGTATTAAGTGTTGGATGCAATGTAGAGAAGATTCATAGTGTATTGGAGTTTTATATCTTCTTACACGTTGAGTGTAACTGTGGTATAACTGAGTGGGGATTGGAAAAATTGGCAACATTATAAAGTTTCAACACAAAATGACCAAAAATTAATTTTAAAAAAATCAACATGTAGTGAATCTCAGGTGTTTCTGGTAGCTCTTGCCTGTGTTGCAAATTGTTCAGGCGGAAAGGTGTTGGCAGTAGAAAAAGTATAAGAAGGTGCCCTGCACTAGAGGATGTGTGCAGGTTACGTGCAACTAGCATGCCATCTCGTATCAGTGACTTGACCATCCGTCGAAATGGGTCTTGGCATCCATAGGATCTTAGAACCAGTTCCCTGCAGTTATCAAGGAGCAACTATATTTGGGTAAGTCAAAATTGCTACAAATCATGGAACCCTTTATTAAACAAGAATATCAAAATGTGGTAAGAGTTGTATGAGCCCCTAATAAAATGATTAAAAAAAAGAATATCAAAATGTGAAGTTGTTGTTTCTCAATGCCCTCCTTCTAGGTCTATACACTTCTGAAGTTGGTGAGAGCCCGGGTGGCATAGTGGTCATGGGTTGGACTGCTGACTGCATGGTCAGCAGTTCACACCCACCAGGATTTCCCCTAGCAGATGGCGAGGCTCCGATCCCATACATATTTACATTTTCTGAAACCCAAAGGAACAGTCTTACTCTGCCCTACACTCACTCACTGTCAGTGACCAGATAACAGTCAGTTTGATTTTTGAAGCCCTTCCTCCAAGATTGGTGTGCTGTCTGACTCATACCATGTCAAAGCAGCAGTAATTAAATATAGCTGAAATCAGTTGACCAATTGTTACTGAAATCCTCCATTCACACTCTCAAATCAAGGACTTTGTGCAGGCCGCTTCTGCTTTCCAAATGAAGCCTGTTCCTTTAAACCAATCAAACTCGCTGCCATTGCGTCAAGGCAGACTCACAGTGACGCTATGGGCAGGGTAGAACAGCCCCTGTGGGTTTCCGACACTGTAACTCTTACGGGGGTAGGAAGTCTCATCTTTCTCCCACAGAGCAGCTGGTGGTTTCAAACTGCAGGCCTTCAGGATCGCAGTCCAACGTATAACCTCTGTGTCACCAGGGCCTGCTCTCTTCTTAGCTGTAGCATATCATTTCTGACATCCATTACAAGTGACGCTAACCCAGATCACATGAAACAGAGCACGTGGCCTGATTCACACCTTGCGCTGTTCTCACTTTATTCCTGTTCACTGGCAGATAATGGCTCCAAAATGGGACTATAGCCACAGGTGTATGAAGTCCAGATCTATATCTCATTAGGAATGATAGCTGGAAAGGCCTTATTAGTTAACTATAACTCACGTATACATATATACACACGGTCAGAAATGTGCGTGTGTCTGACGTATATATAATATACATATATATATAGGTTTGGCAGAGAATATTTAAACATGTGCATTGACCTTTGCTGCAAAATATATTTATGAATGTGGTAGAACATACAGGGGGCAAAGCTATGCAAATATTTTAGGCATAACCAAACACGTTGAGCAAATGAGTTGTTGGGCTGGGGACCTCAAAATTAATATCTTGGGGGACACCAAGGTTAGCTAGTAGGCCCCAAAGACAAAGTTCCACTTCGCTCTTTGTGTAGCAGCCACTGGGGTATTTGTGAGCTTGGAGGTGGCATCGAAGGTACAGCTTCTGGTTTCTCCCTATCTAGAAAAAAGAGCAGTGATGAATTTATCAGTGGACACAGAACTTATCAATGCAAAGATTTGAGAAAATTGAAAGCTACACTGATGGAAACAAGATTTCCACCCCCACCCCGCATTGCGGCAGTGTACCTGTTTATTCTTTGAGGGTTACAATGGCTGTCCTGTGAGAATTTCATTGGGACAACTTACCCCTTTCTTTCTGTGCCACATATTGGCCCTTCAGACATCTTTTTGTTCTTCAAACCCAAGAACATTACAATGGAACGTGATTTGAATCCCTAGAGGATGCCAGGGATGTCCCTGCGTACAGTTTTTCTAGGCAGGGTGTGGGGACAGAAACACTACCTTCAGAAGTCTCCAGCTCTAGATGGAGACTAGTGGGCTCACATTTTGATACTTTGGTTTTAATAAGTTTCTATGAGTTGTTAGCAGTGCTATTGGACGTACCTCTTGTGTATTTCCACTACAGTCTAATAGAGTCCATCTTCTGATTGTTGATTTGTATATAAAAAATTAAAATATGCAAAAAAGCATGTGGCTTTACCTTAATGACAAATTTAGTTGGTTTAGACTTGGCTTGAAACCATAACAAATGCTTTATTATCCTTATTTTTTTGTACCTTTTTGGGGGGCCCAGGAAGATAAGTGAAAAAATATGTTTATGACATTCTGTTAGTTTTTACCCATTTTTAATGGCCTAATTTTCTTTATAAATCCTTTCATACGTAAGTCAGAGCTATGAAAGTCTAAGAAATGAAGTATATTTGTTCTTTTTTAGAATTCCTCTGCAACAAATGTCCAAAGATCCATATTCACATTGCTCGAATAGACAAAAAAGATGTCCCAGCAGAGCAGGCATACATGAGAAGGTGGCTTCATGAACGTTTTGAAATCAAAGATAAGTGAGTAGCAATTGGAACACGTCAAACTTATTTCAATGTAGCGAACAATTTGAACTAACATTCTTATTATCCTAACATGTTTCATTAATTCAAGTCGAACTTATTCTGCGCATAATTGTTTCATGTTTTAAGCTTTAATTTTTAAGTCACCATAGAAGAACCTCTCATTTTTCATTTATACTATTTCCTTGGTTATACTATGTGGTATATACGATAGAAGACTTTTCATTGTAAGATGCTCAGAATCCCACTTTGTGGATCAGGTAATGTGTTATTATTGTTCAAGGACTAACTATCCCGCCAACCAACCAAAAACTCGAAAACCACTCCCATCTAGTCAGTTCTGATTCATAGTGACCATGACATCCCCTGGGAGTGGTCCAAGACTAAATCTTGACTGGAGCAGATAGCCTTATAGGGTTACATAAGAGCAACTGGTAGGTTCGAACCACTGGTAAGTGGTTGGTGTGCTTAGAGGCTCAATGCATAGCCCACTACACCCCCAGTGCCCCGTTATTAGGCCAAAGGGATGGCAACCAGAGCTTGGTGCTCAGTATATGTTTTAGAAGAGGAAAAGACATTTTATTATTACTGTTATTATTTTACTTTTAAAATATCTTCTAATACTATTTTTTCAGTGTAAACATTTTCTAGGGCTGACTGTGTTTACTGTGCTAAGGATATCCCTTTAGAACAACAAACAATTCTGAACCTTACTGAAAGGTACCCGTTAATAAATTGTGAGTATATTCATATGCCTCAGAAGTAAGACACAGTATAAAGGGTTAAACTGAGCTAGTGTGGAATGCCACGCATTACAGAGAAAACATTGAAACAGTGCATGGCATTAGTATGGTACCTCTTTGATTAAATATAAAGAAAATTAGAAATTTGAGAATTCTTTTAAGGATGATAAAGTGTGGGTCTCAGGGCTAGATTTGATACTTAAAAATTAAATTTTGTTATATGAGAATTTATCTTTTTATTTTTTTACTTTTGGTTTTCGTATCTATACAAGTTTTACCTTTTTTGATGCATTTGAGAGATCTGTTTTAAGCAGGGGACTCTGGTAGCGTAGTGGGCTACCTGTTGGGCTGCTAATCACATCTATACTTTTTCTAATCTTATAAAAGTCAATTCATGAGTTTAAGGTATGCATCATTTAGTAAAGTCATCTTGGAAAGCAATTTTTGGAACCTAAAAGCAAGCAATTCTAAAGTCACATCAGTGTTGAGAAAATATACCCAATGCAACAGAACAACAAGGGAACGGAGCAGCAAGCTCCCAGGGAATGTTGAAGGTGGACTTTGGGGCCAGGGCGTGGTGCCCCAACAGACTGGACTGGGGAACACTCCTAAAGTCCAACAAACAGTCCTTGAACTAACTACAAGCTTTTCTTTCTTGTTTTGTTTTGTTTTTTTTTGTCACTGGTTTGTTGTTTTGTTGTATATTGTTGCTTGGTTTTGCTCTGTCTTGTTTTTGTGCATGTTATTATCTCCACAGTTCTGTCTAAATAAGATAGGCTGGATGAACAACCTGGAGGAGAAAACAACGGGACTGACAGTTCCCGGGGGGACATGGGACAGAGGGAGGTGAGGGGAAAGATAATGGTGTTAACAAACCCAGGGAAAAGGGAACAAGTGATCCAAATCGGTGGTGAGGAGGGTGTGGGAGGCCTGGTAGGGCATGATCAAGGGTAATGTAACCAAGAGGAATTACTGAAACCCAAATGAAGACT